TGAAGATATATTCAAAACCGGTCAGATACATCTACGAGGTGAAGATGTTCATTCTCGTTCACCTCACTCTCTCTCTCTTTATCTGTCTATGTCTGTCTATTTAACTATTTATCTGTCTCTCTCTATCTCTCCCCCTCTCTCTCTCCCTCCAACTCTCCCTCTCTCTCTTAGTCTCTCTTCCTCTGTCCCTCTTACACAAAATATGACAATTTGCTTCATAATGTGTTGAGCCGTCGCCTCTAGAGACCAATGGATCCCGACGATTCATATTTCTCTCCTCTCTCTCTCTCTCTCTCTCTCTCTCTCTCTCTCTCTCTCTCTCTCTCTCTCTCTCTCTCTCTCTCTCTCTCTCTCTATATATATATATATATATATATATATATATATATATATAAACACACACACACACACACACACACACACACACACACACACACACACATATATATATATATAGATAGATAGATGGATAGATAGATAGATATGTCTATATATGTCTATATATATGTATATATAAGTATACACACAGACACATATATGTACATATATATGTATATATGTATGTATATATTTACCCATACATATACACATACACGTATATACATATATACATACATACATATATATATATGTGTGTGTGTGTATCTATATGTATTTATATAGATATACATACATATATACACCCCTACATCTACACCCATGTATACCAAGAGGTTTCCTCCGTATCCGATCCTCTCCATATGCGGCCAGATAAACCGACCTAAGATTCCCATAAACCGCTAGAATTATCTCTCACACACGTGGCGAGGGAAGATAAGAAGGTCGACATCCATCACAGAAAAGGCTAAATCTCGACTTTATGTGATTCAGGAGGTCGTATATTTTTTTCCCTTTATTTTCAGTTTTTTTTTTCATTTTTATTTTTTTTTCTCTAAAAATATGTTCGGTCTCATAAATCGTAGGATAATGTGGATGATGAAATTAGTTCGCAAAGGAGTAAAAGTATATTTTCAAAAGAGGATATATATACTGAAATAATATTGAAAGGAAAAATCTACAACGTCATCGTCATCGCCATCATAATCTTCATAATAATGATAATGATAACAATAATAATAATAATGATAGTAATGATATAAATAATAATGATAATAATGATGATGATAACAATAATGACCATGATGGAAGTTATTATAATAATACTAATAGTGTTATAAGCACATAGCAAGTGTACAATAACAATACCATCACTAAAACAACACCAACAATAACAACAAATACCACTATCACAACATCAACGACAACAGTAACACCATCATCACCAACAACACCATCACCAACACCACCACCACCACCAACACCATCACCACCACCAAACACAACAACACCAACAACAACACCATCGCCAACAACAACACCATCACCAACACCACCACCACCACCAACACCACCAACACCATCACCACCACCAAACACAACAACACCAACAACAACACCATCACCAACAACAACACCATCACCAACACCACTAACATCATCATCAACACCATCACCAACACCACCACCACCACCTCCACCACCAACACTATCACCACCATCACCACCACCACCAACAACAACACCACCAACAACAACCGTGCCCCAAAAACTAGAAAAAAAAACTAATCACAAACCTTTTTTTCTTTTTTTTCCTTTCCCCCTCTCATGTGTTTTAAAGAAAGGCACATGTTTCACCCACGAGCTCATTCAAGGGCCATGTGTGTGTGTGGGGGCGTTTGGCACTCGGCCTAGGGGGGGTGGGTGTGGGGAGGTGGGAGGAGGTGGGAGGAGGGGAGGAGGTGGGAGGAGGGGAGGAGGTGGGAGGAGGGGGAGAAGGAGGGGGGGAGAGGAGAGGAGAGAGGAGGATGAATCTCTTGTAAATGTGTGGGATTTATTTGCGTTGAGGATAAATCACCTGGGGAGTGCGAAGTTGGGATTTACTGTTGTTGTTTTTTTTTTTTAAGGGCGGTGGGGTGAGGGGGGTGGAGGGTGAGTGGGTGGGGGTGTGGGGGGGGGGTGTGGGTGGGGGGGTAGGTGGGTGGGTCGGTAGGGAAGGAGGGAAGGAAGGAAGGAAGGGAGGGAAGGAAGGAGGGAGGGAGGGAGGGAAGGTAGAGGGAGTAAGGGCAGGAGGGAGGAAGGGAGAGAGAGAGAGAGAGAGAGAGAGAGAGAGAGAGAGAGAGAGAGAGAGAGAGAGAGAGAGAGAGAGAGAGAGAGAGAGAATGTGAGAGTCAAGTCATATTCTTTACAAATGGCGTACACGTTCTCTACTTGTGAAAAGTTCATAGTGTCTTGTGAGTCTCCAATATTCACATAAACTTTTCGTTTGTTTCCTCTCTCCGTCCTCCCCCCCCCCCCCCTCTTCCCCTCTTCCCCCCTCCCCCCTCCCCCTCCCTCTTCTCTACCTCTTCTCCTTTTGTTTCACACGTTATTGCTGCTGTTGCTCCTCCTCCTCCTCCTCCTCTTCCTCCTCCTCCTCCTTTTCCCTCCTCCTCCTCCTCCTCCTCCTCCTCCTCCCCCCCCCCTCCTCCTCCTCTTCCTCCTCCTCCTCCTCCCTCTCCTCTTCCTCCTCCTCCTCCTCCTCCTCCTCCTCTTCCCTTCCCCTCTGTACCCTCCTCCGTACCCTTCCTCTACCCTCTCAGCCTCTATCTCCTTTCTCTCTTTCCCCCTTTCCTCTCTTTATCCCAACCCAACCGTCTCCTGTTCCTCTCTGTCTTCCTCCCTCCTTTTCCTCCCTCCCTCCTTTTCTTCCCTCCCTCCTTCCTTTTCTTCCCTCCCTCCTTCCTTTTCCTCCCTCCCTCCTTTATCTCGCTTCCCCCTCCCTCCTTTTCCACCCTCCCATCCTCCTTTTCCTCCCTTCGTCCCTCCCTCCTTTCCTCCCTCCCTCTCTCCCCCTCCCTCCCTCACTTCCTCCCTCCTTTTCCTCCCTCCCTCCTTTCCCATCCTCCCTCCCTCCCTCCTTCTCTCCCACCCTCCCTCCCTCCCTCCCACCCTCATTTTCCTCCCTCTCTCCTTCCCTCCTTTTCCTCCCTCCCTCCCTTCCCTCCCCACCCTCCACACACCATCTTTACTCAACCACATCTTCCGCACAGTACCTACAATTGGAAATGTGTCCCCCGGGTGAGCGTGTGTTTGTCCGAGCGAAATGGAACGCGAGAGAGAGATGGAGGGAAGGAGGGATGGGTGGAGGGGAGGGGAGGGGAAGGAGGGGAGGGGAGGGGAGGGAGGGGAGGGAGGGATGGAGGAGAGGGGAGGGGGAGGGGAGGGAGGGAGGGAGGGGAGGGAGGGATGGAGGAGAGGGGAGGGGGAGGGGAGGGAGGGAGGGAGGGGTGGATGGAGGGGAAGGGAGAGGAGGGATGAATGGAGGGAGAGGGAGAGGGAGGGAGGGAGGGAGGG